AAACAATAAAACTTCACCTTTCCCCCCCCCCACTCCCCCCCCCTCTCTCTGAGATATAAGCATGTAAGCCGCATCAAACATGTCATGCCATTTGGATGCACATATCACTGCCAGGCCCTCCTTGTCCCCTCTGAATCCCCACGCATGGATGCAGAGTTGTGTAAGAACCGTGGACAGACGAAAAGGGTTCATCACACATCTCTATGTAACTATACCTTGCTGTGAGAAAGATCTCTGGCCTCAAGTTTATACAGCATTATTTTCAAAGAGGAGAAACAGATAATCCTCGACTTACAATGGTTTCTTTAGCAGCCATTTGAAGTTACAAAAGCACTGAAAAAAATGACTTATATACCATTGCAGCACCCCTATGGTCACGTAATCAAATTTCAGATGCTTGGCAACTGACTCATATTCATGACGGTTGCAGTGTCCCGGGCTCATGTGATCACCTTTTTTAAACCTTCTGACAAGGAGAGTCAATGGGGAAGCCAGATTCACTTAACAGCCCTGTGACTAACTTAACAACCGTGGGGTTTCACTTAACAACCGTGACAAGAAAGGTTGTGAAAGGAGGCAAAATTCACTTAAGAATTTAGCGACAGACATGTTGGGCTCCCTTGTGGTCTTAAATCAAGGATTACCTGTATTTTCCCTAGCTTAAGCCTTCATGACAGCATGTTGGATGAGTAGAAACACAAAATCTAGAGAAGCAGTGCAATCTGTGATACATTTTACACATATGTTACTCTCAACTGGTAAAATGCATACGGTACTATATCACATACATACTGCAGTTAAGTACAGGTAGTCCTTGACGTAAAACAGTTCGTTTATTGACCGTTTCAAGTTACAACAGCACTGAAAAATGTGACTTATGACTGTTTTTCATAGTTATGTGCTTTGCAGCATCCCCATGATCACATGATTAAAATTCAAATGATTCATATTTATGACAGTGGCAGTGTCCTAGAGTCACGTGATCAATTTTTATGACAAGGAAAGTCAATGGGGAAGCCAAATTTACTTAACTACCAGGTTAGTAACTTAACAACTGCAGTAATTCACTTAACAACACTGACAAGAAAAGTCATAAAATGAGGTAAAACTCACTTAATAAATGTCCCACTTAACAACATACATTTTGGGCTCAATTGTGGTTGTAAGTCAAGGACTACCTGTGCTTGCATCCTGATACCTGACCCAAGTACATATGTCATAGCGTTAGTATGCTAACACCAACACGTACATTTCTTTATTCGCACCCAATTCTCCCTCGACTATAGTTAGTGGTCTGCTGTCTTCTTAAATTCTCATATTTTAATTCAGTATCAATGGAAGATATTCTCTCCTGGTTTGGGTTTATTTTTTTTCTCCCAGAGTTGGAAGTTTGGACAGCCAAGGAAGCTTCAGAGTCACAAAATAGCAAGATTCCAATGGCACAATGTCCACCATCTCCAACAATAATGTTGAAAATATCACCAAGAGAAATTAGAAGAAATTCTCAATTGTCTGGAGAACAAAGATAGAAAAAAAAGGTTCCTTTTATCAGAGAAGAAAACTGAGAAATTGTAAAGCGGATTTTGAGACAACATTAATTTGGACAAAGCATTTCGTTTATTCCATGTGAATCACAACACTCACAGTCCAACACTTACTAGAGGGGATCAGACTGGAAAACTGTGCTGTGTCACAATGTCCATCAATAGCTATTTTTGCTGTTCGCAAATCCATGTGATATTAACAAAGATTTAGAAAAGCAGCCACAGTTAGCTACACATAATAGCACGCAGAAATGTCTGTATTTGGCTTTCTTCCTTTCTGACTGATCTTTTAGAGCTGAAATTATACGTTCACATAACTGTCACACTCAGTGGGGTTTACTTATGAAGGACTTTACTTCTGAAGGGCATCAGCGACCTTATTTATTTACTTGTTAGATAGACAAAAACAATAATAATAAAGAAAAAACATCTATAATGAGATGTAAACTATAACTGAGGATATGCATGGACTAGAAGGAACTTTACTGGTTAACCTCTGAAAATGAGGCAGAGTCTGGAATAGAGAGATGACTTCCACTTGGAAAATGTCTCTTTTTTCTGGTTAATGAACAGCTAGACTTGATTAGTTAAGAACTAACTTAGTAACTTTACCACAGTGGTCTCTTAATGAGATGCTTGTGGCATGAGGAAGGGGGAAGAACATTATATAAGGTTTGTTTTTAAAATAGGTCTGAGTGCATGTGTTGTGTGAGAAAGAAAGGCAGAGAAATACCGATTTATGTATGAGTCAAAACAATTAGATTCAATGCATGTAACTGTAAAATGTAAAACAAGACTTTTCAGCCAATTAAATTAATCACTTTAAAGCTGGCCTTCATGCTACTGGAATACAACATTTTACAGCCATAATTTATCACCATGGTAATGAGAGAACTATTCCTGACCCAAGGAAGAAAGTTGGCAAGATAACAAGCAACTGTCAATGTACACCAGGGATGGCACCATTTATAATATACCGTAATTTCAATACAAATCTCAATGGAACCTTATGTGGCAACTTACAAATAGTGCTATCTATTGTAATTGCCAAGTTAAGGATTCATCTGCGGCTCAACTCAACTCAGCTCAACAACTCAACTCAGCTGCAGCCTCAATTCAACTGACATCATAATCTATAGCTGAACATAGCTAAATATGTTTATAAATTCTGTTCCTCCTTGCATTGTGTTCTTCCTTATTTCCTAGTGGTTTTTGCAAATACTTTTCACTGTACAGCTTCTTACCAAAAATATCCCACTTATCCCTACCTTTACGTGGAAGGTTATTCTCTTGCCATTCCTTTCTATCCCAATAAAAAGAACAGAGGAAACAATCATATAACAAATCAGATCACGGGTTCCTCTTCTTCAGTACTGCTTAGGCAAGGGGTAGTCACACTGTATCTCAAACCTAAGCACCTTACTCAACGTATTAGATGGCCGAGGACAATGGAATGTAAATTGTAACACTATTTGGAAGGCCAGAAAGACTCTACCCTACTGGTAGTGTCTCTCTAGGATTTCAGACAGGGCTCTATTCCTGCCTTGCCAGGAAGTAAGAGGAAATTCCACTCAAAACAGCTGCTCTACCATTGTCTCCCTCTCATCCTTTTCTCATTTATATTCACACACTGGAATATTTTGTCTTTTTTTTTTCTTTCCAGAAAGCCACCAGAACTGATATTTGGTCTTCAATACTTTCATACTTAAGTGTATCCGGTTCAATCAATCTTTAATTATTTGATTAGTCTCATAAGCAGAAACCATAAACATGATTTACAGAGGTGAGATCACATGAATAGGATTCAGATGATTGGACTAAGTTGGCTTTCTTAGATTTTACAGAGCCGAGTTCATTTGTACAAACTTTGTGCTTAGCATTTGATTACTTACAATTTATAATGCAAAGGCTATAGAAGGACAGACCTTTCGCCCTCGCTCTTCCCATTAAATTGTTATACAATAATATAGGTTTGGCTTATTAAAGTTATTATTTAAATTATAAACACTGATAAAAATAGTGAATAAGCAAATTAAACATTTTACCATAACTAATATACTGGTAGATAAATTATTGCTAGGTTGCTGCATCTGGGTCCAAGGTCTTCTACTAACCCTATTTAGTTATTTAAAATTCCATGAATTCTGCCCCTGTTTTTCTATACAGAATATTCATAACAGCTAGTAAGACAGAACAATCTAAAATACAAATGACTTAAACTAATAATGTCCATGAACATTAAAGCGTACATAACACTTTAAGAAGAGTATCCCACAATATTCTTTGCAGATCATGCTTTCTGTGAATCAGACAACCGAATGACAAATGAAACAGCTGAACAATCAACTGAAAGCAAGCTTTGACACAATTTGACAAAAACCACCCTTAGAGGGTGTTTTATATTCTAGACCTCGTTTCACCAGTTTTAACGTTGGTGGGCATCAATGTGCCTGCCATCATCTTCCTTAGTGTCTGCCAGAATCCTTGACCAAGTTATTTTCTAATAAATTGGAAGTAAACATGTTGCAAATGAAAGCAACAGGCTCAATACCTAAACTGTATATCCAACAATGTCTTTTGGCGCTACACAGATCCTATAAGCATTTTTCGTAACTAAAAATGGTTGGAGGCATGGAGGCTTGTATCTTATTTGAAGGTGCACCCAGTTGTCCAGAAAAAAAGGCAAAGTCAGCTGAAGTCTTGGAAACATGCTAGGATGTTAGATGAATTGTGTGGAACACTCTTATCAGTTTGCCTTCTGGGAATGGGTGTTTTGAGATTGACTATGTCCACCATGGCGAACATTTAAAGAGCACCCATTACATCATTTCAAAATTCCAAATATTGTGTTTCCCCCAAAATAAGACTAGGTGTTATATTAATTTTTGCTCCAAAAGACACATTAGGGCTGATTTTCCGGTTAGATTTTATTTTTGAGGAAATACGGGACTAAATGCGTCCGTCTGGCTGACGATCTTAACTGGGGCTTGTTTTTGGGATGGGGCTTATATTACAGGGGTCCTGAAAAATCACGCTAGGGCTTATATTCCGTTGGGTCTTATTTTCGGGGAAACACAGTACATGCATCAGTCTAAATATTATGAAAGAACCCTATTGCTCAGGTCTGCCTGTCACAAATTTGATGGATATTAGAGATCATACTTCCTTGATGATCTGATGAATTCACTTCTTCACATGTACGGCTCTGACCCTTGCAATCTAAAAATTCCAATCTAAAACCCAGTTCATACATTTGGTTCCAAACCAGCTGCTCCATATGATGGGAAGCATACAGAGGACACCTCCCAACTGCTCCAGTGGTGAGATGCCAGCTCTGGTACTCACACTCTATTTCCACTGAGTAGAAAATTTGGTGAGTACAGAGGAAATCGTAGGCACGGACTTTCATTGTCTATAATGAAGAAAGGCTCCTTGCAACGTAACTGTAGTACTTACGGGTAAAATGATTTGAAGTGGAAGGGTTGACACTATCCCCACTCTCAGCACTTTCACTGCTAGAGATGTCATCATCTGATTCCCGCACAGACGAACAGGGTGAGGAGCCGTCAACTTCTTCAAACTTCCTCTTTAAAATTCCACTCATAGCTGCACTACTGTCACATGTACCTACAAGGGGAAACAGATACAATGAAGCCAAGGAATGTCTGGCTGCAGATTAAACAATTAAGATCATTAGATTTATCCTCAATGAATTGTCAATAGCAATAGCATTAATAGGTGGACTAAGGAAACTTACTGTGCCTCCCTCCTCCCACCTTTTATTTTAATTTAAAACACCTAAGCTTCAAGCACTAATATTTGGACCAAGAAAACTTGCTGTAATTTCCCCTCCTTTGAATTAAAAAAAATGTAAACTCTGACAACTGAAATAATTGCTGTAAAAGGTACATTTTCAACAGAAAGACTGTATATCTGAATTAAAATACCCAGTGTCATTCACATGGTGGTTCACTAAGGTTTTAGCCTCATGCAAAACTAATCCTTGAATCAGTGTTGATGTTTGTGTGTATGTCCCAATAGTTTAAATTTGAAATGCTCTGGTTTTGAGTTGAGATAATCTTTTTTCATGTTCAAAACAGGCTGTGTTGATTATTTCAAAGAGTTCTGGAATGAAATACTTCTGAATTATCAGAACAGCCTATTGCAACGTAGAAAAGAGCTGCCTCGTTCTTCTTGTACTCTGGTTTGTTTTGCATAAAAGAAAAAGACACATTCTGTCACAATGGGAGGTAATTAATTTAATTCTGTTTAATAGTTAAGCTAAATTAACCTTTTGTCACAAGGGTTCTAAAATATTCAGAGATTCTCAGTATTGGAAAGATTCAGTTTGGGGAACTGAAACATAACCAGGTAGTTAACAGTCATGTCAGATTTCTCACTAAGTTCCAAGATCTCTTTCAGACTTCATAGGATCAAAATATCATCCTCCCCATACTGATTCAGATCCATGCAATTGTTAAAAGACTGTATGCATGCATGCATGTGTGTATGTGTGTGTATGTATATATATATATGTGTGTGTGTGTATACACACACACACACACACACATATATATATATATATATACACACATATAACACCTCTGCTTAACATGCAGACAGCCCAGGTTCGAATCTCAGAAGGGTATGTCTGGCTGATGAAAACCAAATAAGGTTTGAAATAGCTATCCCAGTACTCCCTTAATTCTTTGTTAGCAATTCAAATTTTGGAAAATATACATTTATATACAGTATATGTATATTCTCTAAGATAAATTAAATACACTTACTTAAGCATCTGTTTTGACTTTGTTTTCATTTGTGTTTAATTTTGGAAGAGACATGTATTATCAGAAAGGGCAGGCAATTTTAATGCTTCTTCCTTTCCACTCCCTTCTGCACTCTATGGCCTCCTCCTCCTTTTTTTCTCTCTGCAGAAAATTATAGCAGTAAATTTGCTCCCCTGGTCTACATTCCCCAGCCCACATTTCTCTGTGTTTACACATTACTGTGTTCATTGTGGGAAGCTGACCTTTTACTTGTGATGAATTAAACTACAGTTCTTGTGGTCTGGAGGTTGTTGGGTTATACCTCTATGTTTAGAAGTAAAACAGTTATAAATATTCATTAAACTGTCTTTTTTTCCCCAATCCAGTGAGAAAGAATCAAATCAATCTGTTCATGCCATAGCCACCGAACATGTCTCAAAAGGCAACTGCAGGGTTTTCCAAGGTCAAATCAAATCAGTGACAGAGCAGGAATTTGAATTCAATAATTGCTGAGGGAGCAAGGAACAATAAAAACAAAACGTTGAACAGGGCAGAGGCTAGTGCACATTCTCTCTCTCTCTCTCTCTCTCTCTCTCTCTCTCTCTCTCTCTCTCTCGTCATTTAATGCAAATAATCAAATAGCCTCTTGGGGAAAAAACTTGAGTTACAGAGAATTCTACAGTACAAAGGCAAGCCATTTTCAGGAATAAAAAACCACACTGAGATAGGATTAAATGAATATTTTTGGCAAGGGGATGCCTCTTATTCAGCCCTTGATGATTCTGATAGAAACACATTTTATATAAAAAAAAACTCTTCTGCTTTATTAATTTATTTTCATTGCTATGAATCCCTTTTTAATCCTTCCAGCAGGCAGCTTTTGGAATCCCTTGCCCTATTTCCTTACCTTGCTTGTCCAACTGTAGCCTTACCCATGATGCTCCTGTATGCTCAATACTATACTGCACACACGCAAAGGTTGTAGTCAAAAGTGAAAAATGAGCCCCATCAGTACAGGCAACATTATGATGTCACAAGAAGATGGCTCAGGTCATAATTGGGTGGGTATATTTATTCTCAAGCAGGAGCTTTTCCATTCTGACATCCATTTCTATTCAACCATTTATAAACAATATGAGTATGAAAGCGAAGCGATCGTAATTTTTTCTGAGAAGAATCCTTGACTCATCTAAACTTGGAAGCTAAGGCGTCTGTTTCCTGGATTAGGTTTAATCAATGGCAATTNCTGACTGATCTTTTAGAGCTGAAATTATACGTTCACATAACTGTCACACTCAGTGGGGTTTACTTATGAAGGACTTTACTTCTGAAGGGCATCAGCGACCTTATTTATTTACTTGTTAGATAGACAAAAACAATAATAATAAAGAAAAAACATCTATAATGAGATGTAAACTATAACTGAGGATATGCATGGACTAGAACAGGGGTAGGCAGCCTTGGTTCTTTTATGACTCGTGGACTTCAACTCCCAGAATTCCTGAGCCAGCATAGCTGGCTCAGGAATTCTGGGAGTTGAAGTCCACGAGTCATAAAAGAACCAAGGTTGCCTACCCCTGGACTAGAAGGAACTTTACTGGTTAACCTCTGAAAATGAGGCAGAGTCTGGAATAGAGAGATGACTTCCACTTGGAAAATGTCTCTTTTTTCTGGTTAATGAACAGCTAGACTTGATTAGTTAAGAACTAACTTAGTAACTTTACCACAGTGGTCTCTTAATGAGATGCTTGTGGCATGAGGAAGGGGGAAGAACATTATATAAGGTTTGTTTTTAAAATAGGTCTGAGTGCATGTGTTGGTGTGAGAAAGAAAGGCAGAGAAATACCGATTTATGTATGAGTCAAAACAATTAGATTCAATGCATGTAACTGTAAAATGTAAAACAAGACTTTTCAGCCAATTAAATTAATCACTTTAAAGCTGGCCTTCATGCTACTGGAATACAACATTTTACAGCCATAATTTATCACCATGGTAATGAGAGAACTATTCCTGACCCAAGGAAGAAAGTTGGCAAGATAACAAGCAACTGTCAATGTACACCAGGGATGGCACCATTTATAATATACCGTAATTTCAATACAAATCTCAATGGAACCTTATGTGGCAACTTACAAATAGTGCTATCTATTGTAGTTGCCAAGTTAAGGATTCATCTGCGGCTCAACTCAACTCAGCTCAACAACTCAACTCAGCTGCAGCCTCAATTCAACTGACATCATAATCTATAGCTGAACATAGCTAAATATGTTTATAAATTCTGTTCCTCCTTGCATTGTGTTCTTCCTTATTTCCTAGTGGTTTTTGCCAATACTTTTCACTGTACAGCTTCTTACCAAAAATATCCCACTTATCCCTACCTTTACGTGGAAGGTTATTCTCTTGCCATTCCTTTCTATCCCAATAAAAAGAACAGAGGAAACAATCATATAACAAATCAGATCACGGGTTCCTCTTCTTCAGTACTGCTTAGGCAAGGGGTAGTCACACTGTATCTCAAACCTAAGCACCTTACTCAACGTATTAGATGGCCGAGGACAATGGAATGTAAATTGTAACACTATTTGGAAGACCAGAAAGACTCTACCCTACTGGTAGTGTCTCTCTAGGATTTCAGACAGGGCTCTATTCCTGCCTTGCCAGGAAGTAAGAGGAAATTCCACTCAAAACAGCTGCTCTACCATTGTCTCCCTCTCATCCTTTTCTCATTTATATTCACACACTGGAATATTTTGTCTTTTTTTTTTCTTGCCAGAAAGCCACCAGAACTGATATTTGGTCTTCAATACTTTCATACTTAAGTGTATCCGGTTCAATCAATCTTTAATTATTTGATTAGTCTCATAAGCAGAAACCATAAACATGATTTACAGAGGTGAGATCACATGAATAGGATTCAGATGTTTGGACTAAGTTGGCTTTCTTAGATTTTACAGAGCCGAGTTCATTTGTACAAACTTTGTGCTTAGCATTTGATTACTTACAATTTATAATGCAAAGGCTATAGAAGGACAGACCTTTCGCCCTCGCTCTTCCCATTAAATTGTTATACAATAATATAGGTTTGGCTTATTAAAGTTATTATTTAAATTATAAACACTGATAAAAATAGTGAATAAGCAAATTAAACATTTTACCATAACTAATATACTGGTAGATAAATTATTGCTAGGTTGCTGCATCTGGGTCCAAGGTCTTCTACTAACCCTATTTAGTTATTTAAAATTCCATGAATTCTGCCCCTGTTTTTCTATACAGAATATTCATAACAGCTAGTGAGACAGAACAATCTAAAATACAAATGACTTAAACTAATAATGTCCATGAACATTAAAGCGTACATAACACTTTAAGAAGAGTATCCCACAATATTCTTTGCAGATCATGCTTTCTGTGAATCAGACAACCGAATGACAAATGAAACAGCTGAACAATCAACTGAAAGCAAGCTTTGACACAATTTGACAAAAACCACCCTTAGAGGGTGTTTTATATTCTAGACCTCGTTTCACCAGTTTTAATGTTGGTGGGCATCAATGTGCCTGCCATCATCTTCCTTAGTGTCTGCCAGAATCCTTGACCAAGTTATTTTCTAATAAATTGGAAGTAAACATGTTGCAAATGAAAGCAACAGCCTCAATACCTAAACTGTATATCCAACAATGTCTTTTGGCGCTACACAGATCCTAGAAGCATTTTTCGTAACTAAAAATGGTTGGAGGCATGGAGGCTTGTATCTTATTTGAAGGTGCGCCCAGTTGTCCAGAAAAAAAGGCAAAGTCAGCTGAAGTCTTGGAAATATGCTAGGATGTTAGATGAATTGTGTGGAACA